AAAAACAAGCAAACTAAAAAACTCACTCCTTGTACAGATCACTGAAACAGAAGTGCCAAACTATGTTTTTGTGTTGTAGCATTTCTCCTTTTGTTGCTTAGTTACATAGCTGGGTTTAACACATTGTTTTGCTTGGTTTTGTTTCATGTATGGATTAGGTAGGACTGTTTCTTCAAAGATAGTTGGATTTGTCTGTTGTTTGCTGGCTGTGGTTCATGTCAAAGTCCTCTGCTTTCAGTTACTGGCATATCATTCTTGACCAAGCAGATATTAATAAATAATAGAGTAATAGAGTGAAAAAAACCAAAACCAAAAAACCCCCAATGTGAGTTACTGGTAAAGTCTTACAGAAAAACTATTACTTCCAATTATTTATGCTGAAGGTGTTTGTAACCCTAAGCTATTAAATTATTGAACTATAATGGACTTGGAGAAAAAGAAGGACTTGACCTTTGCTTACCGAGCAATAAATGTGTACATTTTTAACACATAAGTCGCCATGCTTTCAGACTTTGACATCCCCAGTATAGAGTTACTTGATGGGAAATAGCTCAGGTAATACAAGCAGCTGGTGGTATTTTTGGCAGTGTACCACAGTCACGGATAAAAATTCCCCCGGCTTTTGATGGTCAGCTTTTTGAACAGACTGAAATGTAGAGAAGTTGCCAAACACAACAGTAATGGACAAGGCGGTGATTAGTTTCATGACACAGCTGCTTACAGGGGTTATAAAGACTGGAACACACACAAACACAGAAGAGACAGCTAATATATATTCATGTTTAATCAAATCTTCTGTTTTCTGTAAGAAGTTGCTCTTGTTGTGGAATTAATTTGCATATTTTGGAGTAAGTCTAAGCCTGTGATTCATGCTGTTAGCCTGAATCATTTCCAAGCGAGATAAAAAACCCTGTTGGGTTTGAACATCAAAAAAATTATGCTAAACAGCTCCATTTATTATATACATTCACCTGTATTTGGCTGGTTATACCTTCCTTGCAGTAGCTTTTAGTCACACCTAGCTCCATTATGCAGGTTTGGTTTCCACCCGATAATTCCTTTTATATTTGTTCCAAGCCATCTGATACAATGATGTCTGACCCACGTCCCACCTGCACTCAGAATTCAAATGCCACCGTATTCTGTCCAAAATGTCAGTGCAACTTAAATTCCTCCCAAATGTGGGCTTTCGAGAAAGAAGACTGTCACTTGGGTTCAGTGTGTCACCCACAGCATTTGTAGTCTTAATGCTAACACTCTGCACCCACTGTGACGGCACATTGTGCACATATCACTGTACAACCACACGAGTGTATCCACCGCTGTTTAAGGCAGACCCAAGGAATAAATTCCACAATTTTAAGTTTTTAATTTTTATTTTTTTATCCTAAAGAAGAGTGTGGTGTTCATGAAAGGTGATAAATCTGCAGCCATTAGTCTTAGCTAGAACAATTTGTTGGCGTGAATAAATGCATATGTGGAGACAGGAAGTATCTTCTCTTGATTTTTACAGTATTTACCAGATAAACAAAGCAGATCAGGATGGTTTTATGTGGAAAAAATAAAGAAAATCTACACAAAATGTATCAAATTGTTCAATAGAACATAAGTAAGCTTGACAACTGACCAAAACAAAACCCAGGGCAAGGCTTGTGGCTACTGGGGAACTAGCCAGCAAATTAATAATGAGGCGCTCCACTGAACTCTCTAAGGAGAATCTATCCCTGTCCTATATACCCCACTTACACCAGGATCAAACCATGTATGGAAATGTATCAGTTAACTCATGTAGTTGACATTTTCATCCAAAAACAACATAAAGACATTCAAATGACCATTTCTAGGACTTTTCCCACTGAAACACAAACATTAAATCTGCTCATTATATCTTTATATAAAACAGTACTGGTTACCCCTCTGTTTGAATTCAACTTGGTACACTCCAAAATCCAAAACACCTGAAGTTCCTGTTTGAAAGTCTCCATCTTCACCATGGTGGTAATGTGGAGCAGAGCACAGGCTACAAACACTTTGGGAATGTAGCCGAGGAACAGTTGGCATATACTTAATACTCAATAGTGTTGGCTTTAGACTCACATCTTGAAGATAAACTATTCTGCAAGCTTGATGCGCCAGAATAGGGCTAATTGAGAATACCTCTGTAGCAGCCTAGAGTCTGTAGAGGACATGGGTTACACAGTGGCAGTGATTAAATGTATTACAGAGAAACATTTGTTTGTTTATTCTCTGGTTTTATGTTGAACCATTTGCAAAACTGGAAGATTGTTCATAAAGTACACAGCAGGAGAAAAACACAACCTGCTCTGGTGTTTCGGCCAAGTGACACACATTTGGCTGAAATACAAGCAAATGATATTTTCGCAAGATGTCATTCTATTTATCTGTTAAGAAGTGTATAAAAATGAAATAACCTTTTTATTTAACAAAACAGTTACATAGCTGAGAAACTTAAACCTTAAAAAAGAAAACAACTCATGGCTGTCTGTGACAGGCAGACGACCAACCTCGGCTCGACGTGTGCTGCATATTTACTTAGTTTAATTAGTTTCTCCGTCATCAGATGAGAGCAGTTTTATGCCGACAGTCACTATAGCAGAGGAAATATAGCTAGGTTTTATTCTCAAATTTTAATTTTGTTACATACATGTTGTGTCTTCTTGGGCCTCATGCAAACAGGTTTAGAGATCTGTTGATGATCATTTGGCAATCCCAAAAAAAAAGTCGTATTCCCAGACTTTTTGATGAGCAGTGACTATGACTTGGGTGAAAAGTCTACACCAAAAAGCTTGGGATTGCTTTGGTCACTAGCAGATGGTTACAGTTGCACATATTTTGCTTGAAACACGTCAACTTGTCTGCAAACACTGATTATGTATTCTCTGAGCTGTAGCGAAACTTGAAAGCAGTGTGCAAAAAACCAAAAGACGGAAATGAAGGAAGCCTTACTTCTGCTATCGACACATATAAAAAAGCAGACTTTTACTTTTAAGGCACACATTCTGTCTTTCTGGATTGCTTTGAACTCACAGTTTCTCCACCACTTGCCAAGTAGTTTATGAGTGTTTGCAGACAAGCTGGCCTCTTACATGCAAACTATTGGTCACCGCAGAGACCTATAATAATGAGAAACATTAAATAATTCAAGCTTTCAAGTCAGTGAAGACTCTTTCACAATTTTAAGACATCTTGTTAATTCAGAGAAAAGACTCATTTCTTGTCAAGTAAATGCAATACACTTGCATAGATATCATAATAGTATCAATTGACACTACAGCAAGTATTAGAATTACTGGAGAGTCTTTACATTACAGTATATAGCTCCTTGAGGAAAGTGCTGCTAAGGAAGGAAGAAAAGAATCCATCCATCTATGCAGTCTAGACAGAAATGCCCAAACCTCCCTGTCCCCAGCTACCTCCTCCAGCTCATCTGGGGGACACTGAGGTGATCTCAAGCCCGCCAGCAGGGAAAATCTCTCCAGTGTGTCCTGGGTCCACCCCGGGGAGTCCTCCCAGTAAGACATATCCAAAACACCTCACCCAGAAGGCATTCTGGTTAAAGAAGAACTTTTTTTTTAGTTATCTATAATATTATCTATAATGTTTTTGGGGGTTCAGCAAAGGAAGAACACGTGATCTGATGTTTTAATGTATGTGTGCGGGCAGGCAGGTCAGATTGGCTGAGAGGTGGGAGTGGTAGGTGTTTGCTGGACTTGGCCTCCACCAGGCATCATGACTTGCCCAACCCCTGGCCTCGGGGTCGCAGGCCAGACTTCTCCTTTCCTGTGATGAGCTGTTAACTGACCTCAGGGGCAGTCAGGCTCGAAGAATGGGTTTCTCTGTGTGTGTGTGTGTTTCAACCTCAGTTCCCTGTGATCTGATCTACCCTGACAAGGCAACAGGACCGAACAATAAAAATGTCTATTTTCCTCCTCTCTCATTCGCTCCCTCTCTCTGCATGCTCCAGGCAAAATGGGGGAGGTGATTAAACAGAACAAACTCACTGGAAGAATGACATTTCATCATAAATCCTCTTTTTGTATATTATACTCACCATTTGTCTTTAATCAGGAGCAGCTTGGTGCTATTTGGTATAGAGCTGCTGCAGCAGGATGCAACACCTTCATACCTTTATTTTAAGATTTAAAGGTCACCTTTCACATTCCCACTGTTTAGCATGATGAATTGCAGTTGTTCCTAGGTCAATGCTAATAAGAAGAGCAGATTGGACCTCTGCACCGAGGGTACTTGAGGCTAGGTCTCAAAGACTTTGGAGTTGGACTTTTCACAAATGCAACTCTAGCCCAAAATGACATATACCTCACCATCTGATTCAGATGTAGCCACAGCAGTGAATGGCCCTTATCATTTGTTATCAAGCCCATGCACATTGTCAGTCGGCACTTTCCTCTACCTGCTGGCACCCTCGCAAGGCTGTTATCATTCAGTGCAATCAGTGATAAAAAGAGAGCAACCTAGATGATGTAGGAAACGACTACGAATCGTGTAAAGGAGTAAATTAAAATACTGGCAAATTGAGCTCGGTTAACTGTGATTTACATGTACAACCCATGTTTGCTGGATTATTAGAAAAGTCTTAGAATTACCTTTAATATTACTGTTTTCTAAATGACTGCAGTACTAGCAGTAGTAGTAGGAGCACTACTAATCCTCTTATCTATTCTTACAAATACATCTGCTGTTTTTCTGTCTTCTAATCTTTGCTGTCATTCTTTTTATTCTTTATCCAGCCCTGTTGTTTAGAGGCTCCCTCAGCCATACGCTCGGCAGCACACTGAATTGTGAATCCTAACAGCCTGAGCAGTAGCAGATAGAGAGTGACTGAGAAAAGTGAGGGAGGGAGGGGGTTGGGGAGAGATAAAGAGCGAGAGAGCAGCGAGAGAGAGGTGAGAGAGAGAGAGAGAGAGAGAGATGAAAAGCATGCTAAACGAGAGAGAGGCGCTCATACTGAAGGAGGCAGAGGCAACAGCAACAGCACGCTCCTTTCCCCATTCCTCCCTCTCTTTTCCTCATAATCCCACAGCCATACCGGAGGGAGATGAAGGCTACCCTGACCAGCTGATGAGGACCGGCTGAAAGAGAGGAAAGTCTCAGCGTGAGCCCCCCTTCTTATTTTGGGACGTTAATCAACAAGGAGTGAACGGAGGCGCGTACACACGAGCGTGCCTGCGGGAGGGAGGGAGGGAGAAGGAGAGAGAGAAGAGGGGGATGAGTGGTACGTTTGGTACAGCTGCTGATGCCAAGGTCTGAGAGTGAGACAGACTGAGGGAGACCTGAGGCTCGGAGGGCTCGCACGTGCGGAGCGGCGTCAGAAACTTGCGGGCAACGAGAACAGGAAAACAGATTCACATACGCACACAGCTGGACAGATGAGGAGGGATCAGGGACCACGCTTCAGCCCTGGGTATGTTAACTTGTGCAGAACACACGCACACACACACACGGGCATGTACATCTTGTCCTCAACAGCCACTGTGATTTTTTCAAATAGAGCGCAGACACACTTGAAATGCAACAGTACACGTTTGCTGGGCTTAAGGGTTGACGACTACCCATCCTGACAAGGCTCCCTACTTGCCCTTAGATACTTGCAGGAAAGAAAAGAGAGTGAACAAGAGAGGTTATGTGTGTGTGTGTGATCATGCTTTCCTACTATCGCCTATCTGAATTGTGCACTCAGCTAGAGGCATTTAAAAAGGCTTCACAAGCTGACCAAGTGATGAATGTTAATAAACCTTCACTGATGGAATGCTGTCATGTTTCACATCGCCCGACTCTTCTAGTTATAACATTGCCCATTACATTACCTACATGAGTTATGCGCTCTGCTCACAGTCTGCAGTCTGTTTTTTTTTTATCTGAAATGATAACCTGGCTGAAAAACAGCTGAAGTGAGGACTTGTTTGCTCACTCTGGTCTGAGACATGAATACCTCTACTTTACCCATGCTACACTGCAGGATGCCATGTGTGGTAACGTGTCATGCGTGGTCGTGTGTTATGTCATGTTGTGGCAGGGGGCATATGGCAAGTATGTCTTAGGTGCTTTAGCTATCAGCCCCCCCTTTTTCTCTGAATCTAACACCCCCCGCCTCGTTCTCAGTCTCATTCCTTTTCCACCATCTTCCCCCTTTCTCCATTTCCAATTATAGACTGTCACCTCTCTCCCTTTCCTCCTGATCCTATCTCCTGTTTCATTCTCTTGCTAAGCAATTACCTTTACCTGAATCTTCCCCTCTGGACATCATGGCTGGCTGGTTTTTCTGTCTGTCTCCTCAACAATGAAAGTGAAGGATAGGTGGTCATTTCATGGCCATTTTTTAATGGTTGCCTGAACCATGAGCAAAGGAGCAGCAGTGAAGCATGAGCACACAAGCCACTTCATGTTAATACCACTCAGATAGATCTGGAACAGATACATAAATATGAAGCTCAATCTGGGAGGAGGGGGGTGTTCAGTGTACAGATGAATTATGCCTCTAATCATGGAATCAGCTCATTACTTCCTGCTCCTCATTAACTTGTTTGGGTTTCTAACTTTATCGCTGCTCGGTCTTGTCTTCCTGAAAACTAAACAGGAAAAAGAACTCACTCAGACACTGCTGGCAGGCAGATAGCTCCCAGCATACAGGCAAACTTGCTGTTTGTGTCTGAGAGTTTTGTCTGCACTCACGGACTCTTCAGCTACCTCTATTCCTGTTGCTTTACCCTCTTTCTATAATCGCCACTGGTAATGAGCCAGCCTTCACACACGTATACAAAGACATGCACTTATTCCCACCTTCCCACCATCAGTATGACCCTTTAAGTGCAGACGCTTGCCAACTACCTGAAGCATAATATCGCTGTCCTCTCTGCTGCCAAGTCTGCGTAGTGTGTGAAAAGACCAAGACTGGAAATGAGACACTGTTGAATCAATGAGAAGTTAGATAAGAGAAAGAGAATGTCACGAATAGAAGGATGAAGAAGGCAAGCACGACATAAAATTAAACAGGAGGAGATTAAAGTGATGTAGTGAAAGGCTCGTCAGAGGGATATTTAGGACAGAAAGGGCCGAGAGTGTGACAGGAAAGTGGGAGAATGTGGGTGGAACTGTTTGGCCTCTGTGTTGACAGGTGCTTATTGCAGATGTGTTTTTCCAGTGAGTGGACATGCTGGCAACGTGATAGTTTTCAGCCACCCGTGGGGAAGAAGGTGATGAAAAAGAATGAAGAGGATGAGATCATTGCTGGAAACAAAATCTTTACAAAAGAAAATCGTTTTTTGTACAAGTTGTATTTTATTTTAACTTTTTTTCCCATTATTCCATGTTATAGTAGGTGGGCACAGAGCTTGTAAAGAAGACAACTGACTTTCCAAACACCTTTATTTAGTGGTAGAAGCGAGCTTATCTGAAATGTCTGTGATAAATCCACATTAAAGAAAAAGACTTATTCGCCCACATCTATGCCAATTACCATACTTTTCCGAGCAGACGTGCTTTTGCGAGTTTGACTGTTGTGTGGACATATGTCTGTCTGGAAGGGGAAACACTGAGCACTTGAGAACATTGTAAGGTTTACATGTAAAAACTAATATTGTATTTAAAAATTTACCACAAGCTTCTATGCTCATTACTTTTAAATATATTGCCTTTTTAAACTGGTTGCTTCTTTTTGAAACACCCTGTCCTCTCAGAAAATAGAAGTTACTCCTCCACACATGTGAGACTTTTTAACTAAACCTAACATAGACCTGATAGAGCTGAGATCACAATGTTTAATGAACATGAATGCCTATTTTAAGCCTTACAACTCAGCATTATTATGTGTGGGCTGGGTACCTTTGACATTTAAACCAATACCGGAACCTGGACTTAAGTACCGCCATCCAAAAGTACCTTTTGTCGATTCGGTTAGCTGTTGTCTGCTCCTCCTTTATTACAATTTTGAAATGTTGTCAAACAAAATAAGTCAACATTCCACTATTGAAAGATTTGCTTATCTATAACATTTTACACTCTACACCAGCTGCCTTGGTCGACAGTGTCTGTGTGTTAACATCACTGTCACATGCTTTGCAAACTACTATAGGAGTAGATGATTATTGGTTACGGTTACATGTTAGGTTACGTACTATCTCAGGAAGTAGAGTATGTTGTCTGCCAGCCAGTTGGAATGTCAGTGGTTCCATCCCTGTATCTGCATCTTCAAGTGTCCTTGTCTCATGTTCAACTATCTTATTGAACTCCAAGCTACCCCGGATGCATTTGTGGGAGTGTGTGTGCTTAGATGCAGTCCGTTGAATAGCAAATAGCATTTTGGGTTACAAATAGTATTTTGCGTTACAAACATTGCAAAGTAAAAGTGTAACCACATCTGAGTCGATTTTCAACTCGCCACGGCCTCATATGTTTTTTTGTTCTTCAACACATCGTCTCACTTGCTTTCTTCTTCTTTGACTCCCTCTGTTATCGCAATTTGACACTGGCTGATTTTGTATGAATTTTTAGTCGTAGTACTGATGCAATTTGATTTATACCCTAAAAAGTACCAGGTTCCTCTACCCAGCCCCAATTCCTCATTCAGCTCATTTACATCAGCAGCACACTTTCCTTTCAATGAACAAGCTCTTTTTTTTTTCTTTTCTTTTTTTTCTTTTTGCCTGTCAATGAACAAGCTCTAACGTGACCTTTAGCACTGGGCTAAAGATTTCCTGGAGATGGTAGAGACCAAAACTGGAGCTAAAAAGATGAATTTGTCAGATGGCTAGAAAGTGTGACTGTAAGTGAATGACTGTGTTTCTCTGACACTGAAGAATCTGTACAGTTGTTTTCCCTCCAGGGTGGTCAAGGTACTAGACTTTCAAACTCAATACCAATATCCAGGAAAATACTCAATGCTTGATACAGTTTTTGAAAATTTTGACCCCATCCTGCAAGAACAGAAGTAATTGCAAGCAAGTCTTATTTTGAAAAATTGAACCAGGCGCTGCCTGTATTTTAAAACTGACCTCACAACTGGCTTTAAAAAAATACGAAACACATTTTTAAAAATTATTGCAAAAGTAGAAAAGTTTATCATCTTGTTCACATCTTCCCTGCAGTGTCTATCTCACCCACTGTTCTCACTGCTCCACCTCAGTCTACAGCTTTTCTCCTCAGCTCTTCAAGACTGAAGTTGTCTGATTCGGCTGCTGTGCTCCAGATTTCTCTCTTTATTTGCTTGGATTAGTTCTCCACACATTCATCTATGGTTTTCTTGGTGGTCTGCACAGTGAGAAACTTCTGACTGTACCCATTCTCCACATGTCCGTAATCTGCTCTGTCACGGCTCAATATTCCACCCGTGATCTGTTCAGCCTACAGTAATTATTTATCTTTTATTTAACTAAAGTCAACTAGCTACTACGTTAAGGATAACAGGTGGCTAGTGTGGCTATTGGTTAACTGCTAATAGTTAGATGGCTAATATTGACATGTGCACTTCCATGCTGTTGAAACAGGACCTTTACAGACCTCTGATAGTGTTTCAGTGTTATGAATGTCCAGTATTTCACCTGTTATTGAGGGGAAGAGCTTTGTGTCTACTTGTTTGTGTGAAGTTGTTTACACTGTTTGTTGTAAATGAGTGACTCCGGTATTAATTTTAGCATTGATTAATATCTGAGTATTGATTTTTATTTATTTATGTATTATTGACAACTCTACCCCTTAGTACCAAATATTTACCAAAATAATGTGTTATCATCTGTAGGATAGTGCACTTATTGTGTTAACTATATGAGGCGCTCATACCTCAAAGTTGTTTTTACATCTTGATGTGCAGGTTGGTAAAAATCAACAGTTTTCTTTGTTTCAGAATTTTTTTCAGCTTCTTGCAGATCAGCCCTCAATTTTGTGAGCACTGTTGTATTCTCACCAATACCAATCATGGAGGAATAAGATATATGTGAAAGGATCAAGCTTCAGGGAGCAAAATTTGAGCATTATGTGTCCACCGGAGGAGACGCGTGAAAAGAGGAAAGATTCTTGTGCAATGAAAGGATTTGATTGAGACGATGACCGGGGGTATGTGGGCGTGCTGAAAGAGCTTTTGATGTCAGTGTGTGCACAAGTGT